ACTGCTTTTAGAATCCGACGCTGGCTGCTAACGATGAGAATCGGGTGCTTTTAGGACGCACTCGGGTTCGGTGATGTCAGTTCTTCCCTGATCTCACCTTTACATATTGATGCATGTGCAACAATGGATAGAGAAGCGACTAACATTAATACAACTGTTACCTGGTTGGTAGACTTGATCACGACCGCCTCCAGCTGACGGGTTTTGCTGCTGACGTCACCAGGTTGGGCTATCAATGCCTTAACGCAGCGGTTCTCAAACAAGAAATAAATTATTTTCGACAGTGGCGTGAGAAGACAATTTTATTTTAAATATTCAAGTATCCACATGTCTTCTTTAATAATTTCACAATTTTTAGCAGACTTTTCTTTATTATTGCCGCGGCACTCCTGGCATAAGCTTATGGCACCCGGGGTACCTCGGCACCCAGTTTGAGAATCCGCTGCGTTAATACATCGTTAAGCCTGACAGTCGACACTCGACACCACTGTCGAAACCAACGCAAGACGGTCTGCTGGCGAAATCGCCTGCAGCTAGGATCGAACCCGGCACCACGGCATCACAAATCGCGTTTGTCACGCCTAAGCCACAGAAGCCGGCTTGAGAAAGCACATCCAAAAAAAAAAAAAAGGAAATACTTGAGTTACAGGCCTGACGAAATAGTACAGCTTAAGTTAACTCTTTTCGTAAAGACGCTTGAAAGTTCAACTAAATACAACTGCGCGAACCTTCTAAAAGTGGCAGGAATTTTATTGTAGCAGGCTTTGTAACTGCGTCGGAAGGTACTGATTGCCAGTCATTTAGGGGGAAAAGTCAGTTGATATTTGTTGGTATTCCAATGGAAACCAAGCTGTATGGAGCAGTGGAAGACAGGCGTAGCACTACAGACTTTAATGAGGCCTATTGCAATGTACGTGGTTCTTGGCTCACTCAATGCATGCAGCCTGCTCGGGCAGAATGATAAATAATTCAACACAGCTAGCTTGAACACGAATAAATATCGATAACATTACACTGCTGACAACAGTGTGTTCATTGCTCCAACGATATTTCTCTTGCTCAGTGAGCCGGAGGTTTGATGTCTACTTTAGCAGGCTCCTACTCACAAATCAACGAAAATACATTCTTTACCTGACCAGGATTATCGATTAAAGCACTTTCAACCACTGGAACTTCAGAGCTCGCAATGAGAAAATTTACCAACAGTGAGCAAATTTATCAACAATGAGAACATGTAGCAACAATGAGAACATTTAGCAACAATGAGAACATTTAGCAACAATGAGAACATTTAGCAACAATGAGAACATTTACCAACAATGAGCAAATTTACCAACAATGAGAACATTTAGCAACAATAAGAACACTTACCAACAATGACCAAATTTAGCAACAATGAGAAAATTTAGCAACAATGAGAACATTTAGCAACAATGAGAATATTTAGCAACAATGATAACATTTAGCAACAATGAGAACATTTAGCAACAATGAGAATATTTAGCAACAATGAGAACATTTAGCAACAATGAGAACATTTAGCAACAATGAGAACATTTAGCTGAGACATTTACCAACAATCAGAAAATTGACCTACAATGAGAAAATGACTCCTTACAACTATAGGCTTCTCATCTGAAAACAACTGACTGAGGAGGGGAAAAAAAGGAAGACAAGAAGAAGAAAAATGCTGAGACTTTAGGATACATCAGTAAATGATCTCGCTGAAGCTTCTAAGCTTCTGACATGTGGTTTGAGACCTATAGGCTTATAATCGATGGCTGTTGTAGTCAAAATCACGCAGGCACAGCACATAGACTGGCTGGAATCTATGCTTAAACTCGTGATCTTGTTGGAAATGACTGCATTCCAGTGCGTACAGACATGCAGACGTTTCTCTGAGATTTGAATGTCGAACAAATCCCTTCCCCCACGTCATTCGCCAATCCACAAATCTCTCCCCACCGTAATGATCTATCTCATCGCGCTTCCTCGTCGTCAACGTCCTCCAAAAGGTCTTTGAGTCTGTCTTCTATTATTGTTATTATTACTATTATTATTATTATCATCATCATCATATTATTATTAAGCTGCTGTACTCATTCCCTACGCCTCCAGAAGATTACCTTGGAACTGAAACCTCTCCCCCCAGCACCCCCTAAATTTTTTTCCGTGAAGGCGCCACGGTAAATTTTTATGTTATGTATGTACAAATATTCAGTAGAATATGAGGTCAACAAGCTTTCGTTAGCGTAGAGAAAAACAAATAATGGGCTTTTTTTTTTTTAAAGGATATTGCATACAAGGACAATTGATAGATAATATCATGGCCATGAACCACAATTCCCAACGTGCAATGACAACACGAGTAAGCAAATCTGATATGTTTACAATCAATACCGGAGAAAGGTAAGCTTGTATGATCTACGCTCTCTTATAAAATATATACAAATAATTTTTTTTAAAGCCAGGCAAAATTTAAAAAGTTAGTTTCGTATCCTTTACAGGACGCTACAAAACACAGCCACATCATTTATTAGCTATTGTGGTTTTTCTAGGTAAATTTACCTCCAGTAGTTTGCCATTGCTTCTGGACAGTAGGCTTCTCGATACCACTGTCGAAATCAACAAAAGGTCAAGGCCCGTAGCTGGAATCTAACTCGGCACCCCGGCATTATGAAGCGCGTTCGCAATACCTAAGCCAAAAAAAAAGCTTTAAGGATAGTCGATCGAGAAACCCAGAAAATGATGAGTTTTCTTTCTATAGGAATATTAGATCCATGTACAATACACGGGCTACTGTTTGCAGACGATCAGTGCCTGTTCTACAATAAGAGCTAGACTACAAAACTATTGAGCTGGATAAGTTCAACTAGCAGAAGATATAACATGAAAATACGGCAAAAATTGAAGTAATGCGGGTCGGTAGAATTCCTAGTCTGCTACATATATGGTTGAATATATATGGCAGAATAGATCGAGAAGCAGAAACAAGTTGTCAACATACCAATGCACTCATACACCAACCGACGCCGTCGAAACATAAGTGTGGTAGGTAAGTTGTACCCCACCAGGACATCACACACTCGAAAAACACCCAGTGACTCAAAGTGCCACCATGTGGATGAAGATCACCCATGGAGAGGTCCCGTAAACCTCGTTCAGCCATTAGGCCATATTTAGGGCCCCCGGAAAAAGCCAGGGTGGGGCTTCAAATAAAGAAAAATTACATCCCACATGAGGACGGTTGTTAGCGAAACGTAAGTGATCACCAAGAAACAGATTACCAAAAAGCATATACATACCAGCAGTGTTGCTTCAAGTAGTAAATTTGTGATATTAGCACTGTCTGAATCACTTCCGAAAATTTATAAGTTTTCATTATCATAATCAGAATTTTAAAACATCTGATTGAAACAATTTCAGAGGTTCACCAACAGAAAGGCGCATGTGATCTGTATTTGTGTTCTGGACATTCGTTTTCAATGTCAGTCAAAGGCGGAATCGGAAATTCACTGTCTGAAAGCGACGCTCATAAAAAATTCAATAATTTTGCACCTAAATATGTGCACAAAGACTTGTAAACAAACAGAAACGTGACAATAACCTTCGCTGATATTCTGAACATTAAAAACTAGTAAGGAACAGTAGGCGAATCAATTTGTGCCAGACACGATCAACGCAGACTGTGTTGTTGGGGCAAATCGGAACTTCTCAATCAACACACAAACACACTAGTGTTGCTTGAGCCTGAAAAAGTATCAAATAGAAGATTAAATTGTTTGGTTATCTTTTAAGAATGTAGTCACAACTACCGACACCGTTGATACACAGGACAAGATCTAACGTGAAAGCAGGATGTCGCCCTAGGAGAATATAGATTGATGACATTGAAGACATTCTATACTGACATGAAATAACAATAGCCATTGATGCCTATCAAGCAACGGATCGCAACAATACGCCGCTTAACGGCGAAAGTGGAAATTAATGACGAGGACGTGGTGTCAAGGACCTGATATCTATATTATTGAACTAGGGCTCGCTGTACGGCCCTGTGACAGACAAACTATACCAAAACACATTAACACTACACAACCTATCTGTCAATTCCTAACAAAAAAAATACAATCACGTCTCTCAAAATGTCCTCATCCTCGCACGTCCCTTTTCTCTCTCCCTCCGTTCAGCTCCGGTTCAAACGTGTACGTTGCACCAGTGTTCAAGCATCTCGGGTTTTCCCGGTATCATCAAATCAACTGGCTGAGCGCTGGTGCACAGTTTTGGTCCGTCAAACACCAACATGTAGTTACACGACGTATTGTCTATACTCTGTCCCATAGGGCTATGACACGTGGTCAGAACCTTGACTTAGCAGAATACCTGGGTTACCTAGTACCCACTTTAGGCGGGGTCGACTCGGGACCTAAGGTCGATTCAGGAGAAAGAAACATTACCATTGATGCGGATTTAAACCCTAAACCTTCAGAACAACACGTGAGTATCTAACCATACGCTACCGTGGTTGCCCAGCTAACTAGACCTTAAAAAACAGGATGTGATTGTCTGAGGTTTTTATTTTTTTTATTAGCATGATCTCCATGACACTAGAAAGAGTTGCTTGTCACTAACGGAAGCTGAGATAAAACATTTGTTTCAGAGGCGCAACTGACGTAGTATTCTGTCTGTGATCTCGTGGACTTTGATACTTAGGTGTTCCTTGACTGCGTGATAGACCGGTGGAAGCGGTGTCAAGGATATATATTTTAGCTAGCCGGCCGGCTATATATATTCAGAGAAACCTGCAGCCAAATAACTAGTTAGATAATCATCCGCGACGTATAGTAACTGTGCTCACAGCTTCTGTTCTGGTATAATAGGGATTGATAGAAAACTTTCAAGTACTACTTAAAAACAGTTAGCGAAACAAAACATTTTCAGCTGCAGTTGAGAACAAGCTACAGTTGTGAATTAATAAGAGAATCGAAAGAAACAGCGAGATGTCTGCCAACAACGCCAGCAACCCCGCAAACGGTAGGAAGAAATAAATAAGATTATTTGTTTTTAAATAGTAATACCTTTTTTTGGACCCAAAGCATATATACAACTCTTTCTTTCTACTTCAAACCTGGAAGGGATTTTACAGGATAGATTTGATTTGATTTGATTTGATTCAAGAACCGACATAACAGCACTAGGGTCATTCCCATAAGCGCTCCGTCCTTATCTTCAGCAGTTAACTAAGAGTTCCGATACTAATAGTTTCACAGGGTAGGACGGAATGGAAGACTCGACTGTGCGTTCACTGTGACGCATGACAGCATGACAGGTGGATAATGATGATGATGATGATGATGATGATGATGATGATGATGATGATGATGACGATGACAACGACGATGGCTTAGTTAGAAACTCTCACGTCTGCCTATAGCGCGAGCTGTCCTGATTTGTTTCCAGTCTACAAAAGGTGTTATTTACATCCTACTCGCGTGGCACTTTATTTGGTCAAAATATTTCAGCTTCCGAGACAAGACGCTGTTTATTAGCCAATCTTCCTTTCAAATAAAGTGAACACAAACAATACGTTGCACAATATATTGACTGGCATATTTCGCTGTATCTCGTCATAAGTACAGTGTTTTTCTTCTTTTCCTTCTTCTTCTCCTTCATCACCGGCTTAACAATCCGACGGCAAGTTCTGGTTTTTGTCCACTTTTGGACCTTATTCTTGTTCCACAACTGAATTTCGTAGGCAGATCTGGCTTATTTATATGCAGACTGTTGGTTCCTCCCTCTCAGGCAGAGGCACTCAAACTTCGAAAGAAACACCCCTATTTAGTCGCTTTTACAACAAGATATTTAATCTCGCAGTGAGTCTGTTCACGATCTCCTTTAAAAAAAAGGACACGGAACTCACACGGAAGCGCGGGGGGTTAACTTATGTGGACAAGGCAATTTAACATTTAACAAATCTTTAAAGAAGTCGACATTTAGGGATAGAGTTTAAGAAACCTGGAGTGTGTATGGATGCCTCAGAGACAAGGAGAACAGGGGCTGTGGAAGAGGGGCGTGTGCAGACAGGGGACGCCACCCAGACACACTTTATGTATTTACTTCTGTTATTTTAGTTCCATATTTTACTGTTGTCGGTGTATGTTGCTTAGGCGTTATCTTGCGCTGGTTTCGACTGTGGTACCGAGAGTTGACCGTTCATGGCAATGGCAAACTACTGGACGTAACATTTGCATGGAAAAACCACAACAGCAACAACAACACAAATTCTGGGGTTGGTTCATTAACGTTCTGTAAAGGATATGCAACTAACTTTATCTTAGTGTTAGACATTCTGTTTTGTTCCATTTAAACCTCTGAGTCTATGTTTTGAAAGTTCGGGTTTGCGTTAGGGTATTTGCGCGAAAGGATGTGGCGCCAATTGTATGCTGAAAAGAACTTAACTCGGGCAAATCATTATGAGCATAAGTATAATTTTCAGTGTATTTGTGTACTAGTACTAGTGTTGCTGGAGATCTAAAAGTAAATAAATAAAAACAGATGTTGTCAGCTTTCTTAACAAGCCCCGATAAAGAAACATTAGAGCGTGGTCTGTAGCCTGGGGATGCCGTTTCCTGGGTGGTGAAGTTGAAAGCGGCCGTCAGACAATTTTGTTCATTTGTACTTGTTATAATATGAGAATCAGGATTTACAGCTTTAACAGTCATGAAAACAAAACAGTGCTGTCAGCTTGACAAGGAGAGTGATCTCAAGTGTACATTGTCCAACATCAGACACCGCTTCCCCTACCCCCCCCCCCTTTTCCCTCCCAAACCCCTTAAGCAGACATCACTAAAACAAAACAGTGTCACCCCTGACATCGATATTTGGGCAATGAATTACTAGTACTAGTTGTTGGTGATTGCTTCTTTTGTTATTTGACACTTTGAATTATGTACGCAGTTTTTTTTTTTTTTTTTACACAGGGCTCGAGATGTTCTGTTTTGTCATCTTCTTCTTAATCCCATTTGGTTGTGTTGGAGTTCACATGGTTGGGGTCGGGTTGGGGGGGGGGGGGGGGGTCGGTTGGTCTTGTCATATACTTAAGGAGGTGCCACGTGAACCACACACACAAAAAGTTGGAGACCTCTGACTGAATTTTTACACCACCAGAACATCACACTGAGCGAAAAAAAACATCAGGTGACACAAAATGCTCCCATTCAGATGAGGGTCACCCGTGGTGAGGTCCTAGAAACCCCGTTCAGCCGTTATGTTATATTAGGGCCCCCGGCAACAGCTAGGGTGGGGCTTCAAAATAGCGAAACATTTATCCTAACGTGAGGACGGGGTTTGGAAGTACACAAGTTTTAGAGACCACTGCACTACAGCGACCTCTTTAGGCTGAGATGACACTAGTCGATAATAATGATTTCAGCGCAGAAGAACTACCCAGCCACTTTTCCGCGTAAATCTGTTCATCAAAGCACTCTTTGTGAGGTCCACATCTGTAATACATAGGACATACTATCTTCTTTTTCTTGTTATTCTTCTTCGTTTTCTTTTTCTTCTTCTTCTTCTTCTTCTTCTTCTTCTTCTTCTTCTTCTTCTTCTTCTTCTTCTTCTTCTTCTTCTTCTTCTTTTTCTTCTTCTTCTTCTTCTTCTTCTTCTTCTTCTTCTTCTTCTTCTTCTTCTTCTTCTTCTTCTTCTTCTTCTTCTTCTTCTTCTTCTTCTTCTACTCTTTGTACCTCAGCGAAGTGTCTGGGGGGAATGTAACATTCGTTGATGAGCTCTGTCAAGAGCTCTATTAGGATTGATGTTCAGTTCTGTAAGGGTATTATTAATGCCATCACTCCATGCTGGACTAATATTTTTTATAAACCAACCGGCACTCGACGTTGAAGCGATGAGCATTTGGCTGGCGGCCTTTACTTTCTATGACTTGTCTTCGTACCCATTGTAGATTAAATACGGACAGAACCAAACATCTCTGGGTTTGCCGTAAGTGTCTCAGTCTCCATCTGTGTTGCATGCAATATTAAACCCTGAACACCTTAGTTGAACTGAACTGTACTGTTTCTTGTGTTTCCCCACAGGGCCTGTAGTGATTTCCCCGAAACCCAACCCAAACATCATAGACAGAGCACGGAGATTTGTTACAGATACGGTCAATCTTATTCTGAGGTAAGTTACAAACATAGGGCGGAAACATGGAGAACAACTGAAGCAATTACTAATAAACTACAGACATTCATTTACTGGTGCCTGCTCAGAATAGAGGGAATTAAATGGTATGATAGAATCCCTAATGTAGAGCTTTGGGAAAGAACTAAGCAAGCTCCAGTGGACCAAGAGGTGAAGAAAAGACGCTGGTGTTGGATAGGACACACATTAAGGAAACCGGAGAATAATATAACTAGAATGGCTTTGCATTGGAACCCACAGGGTCATAGAAATGAAGGAAGGCCAAAAACACATCGAGACGGGAGCTGGAGAATGAAGTTAGAAAGATGGAGAGGACATGGGAAGAGCTGCATGCGATGGCAAAGGAAAGAACGACTTGGCGTGAGTTGGTTGAGGGCCTATGCTCCATTGGGGACTAGAAAGGCAGAAAAAGAAGTTACAAACATATTTTTGTGTGTGCGTGTTTTGTTTTGTTGCTAAGGAACCTTCCCTCGATAAAAGCGCTTCTGGCATATGGTAAAAGTTAGGGACCCTTTCCCACGCCTTCACGTGTACTGGGCATATAGGGCTAGACGTATATTTTATAGACCATACGGCAATGGGAGAGTAATGTGGTCAGCTTCGCGCCCGCCGCCTTTACTTCCCATGACTGTATCTGGTATCCATTTAAGGCTGAGTCGACCTGAGAGCCACGACCATTTTTGAAAACTACACCTCGCTCCGTCAGGACCCAAACCCACGCCCTTCCGATCCGCTAGCAAGCGTCTACCGCTACACTATGCCAGCTCTCCTAGCATATGGTGCTGGAAGCATAATATTTCCAGACAATATGTTTTTAGAAACCCACCAGAGATTAGTCAGCGGGCCTTATATCGCTACTCGGTCTGTTGACTAAGATCCAAAAAGTTGGATCAGGAAAACACCGAACAACCAGCAGATTGTATTTCTAAAAAAAAAATATAAAAAATGGTGGCGCTGCTAGCCAAGAGGATGACCAGGGTAAATTTTACATTTGACAATTTTCTGGAATTTGCTTATTTTTCTGGAATTTGCTTATTTTTCTGGAATTTGCTTATTTTTCTGGAATTTTCTTATTTTTCCGGAATTTGCTTATGCTGTACCCTCCCGGACATTCAGTTGATAAGAAAGTAGCACTTTTTCATTTTCTTGGTCCATGATACCTAATCGTAACTTCAACTTCTTCCTCAGATTTTATTTCGGGATCCTTCTACTGATTTACTTCTGGCTCGTCAAGATCGTTACCAGAGCCCTTCAGCCATTGGAGCCCATCCTCAAACAGATGTACAAAGTGCCCGCTGAAGATGTCAGCGCAGAAGGCATCCGCAACCAGTTGACCCGGCTGCTGTGCACAGTTCTCCTGCTTTTGGCCCCTCTTGTTAATCAAATCATTGTCTTTGTGACCCGGCCTTTAATCTGGGCCAGAAACAAGATCATTGAGTATGTTGAGGAAGGAGAGAAGGATGCCCTGAGACAGACTAACCCTAAAGATAGTTAAACAGTAGTTTAACACTGTTAAGTTATACAGGGTTTCAGTTTATCTGCCAGTATTTAAGGTTGGCTGTTGTGTAAATATTAACAGACAAATTGTGAAAACATGGATGACTGGGGTCAAGCTAATACCAAGAAATTAATCAAATAAACTGCGACTAAAAAATCTTAACAAAAGGGTGGAGCGGCACAAGGTATATACAGAAGACATTCCACATCACAACTTTATATCTTTATATTTTTTTATTCGCAGGACCCCTCTGTTGTATACTGGTGGTTGGAGTACTCTGCCCTTTGTTACTGATGTGTATGTAGTTCATGTCGAAAAAGGCTCCGACAGAAAGGTCGTTTTGTTTGTTGTGTCTTTGTTGTTTCCCTCCCCACTTTTTTGTTAGGTTTTTTTTTTTTTTACTCACAGTTGATTTCATTAATTTCTTTAAAAGAAAAAAAAATGGCATGCTCACTCGTTTGACTGCAATGAAATACCGTTAGGTTGTGTGATTTTAAGTTCTAATGAAAGTACACTTTTATTTTGCTGAATTTCAAGTCTTGTGCCAAGAGGGGTTTTCAGAGAGAGAGAGAGAGAGAGAGAGAGAGAGAGAGAGAGAGAGAGAGAGAGAGAGAGAGAGGGGGGGAGAAAGAGAGAGAGAGAGCAGAGAGAGAGAGAGACAGAGACAGAGAGAGAGAGACATACAGAGACAGACAGAGAGAGACACAGAGAGAGACAGAGAGAGACACAGAGAGACAGAGAGAGACAGAGAGAGAGAGACTGAGAGAGACACAGAGAGAGAGAGACAGACAGAGAGAGACAGACAGAGACAGAGACAGACACAGAGAGAGAGAGACACACACAGACAGAGAGAGAGAGAGAGAGACAGACAGAGATAGTTTAATTTATTTGTAATGATCTCACGATACTTCTGTCGAGGTAGATTATAAATGGTTAGAGAGTGCCCGTTTGTGCACTTCGTATAAGGGGGTAGGCGTGGAAAAGGGAGGGGTACCGTGGGCTTTCTCTTTCCGTCGTGTTTATCGTTTGAAACATCAGCATCTTTTTCAGCTGATGAGTTTGTTGAAACGCTATGCTCGAATTGGGAAGAGAAGGCTGGGGGGGGGGGTGTGGGGTAGGGGCTATATGGCTAAATGTGGTATATTATATGTTTAGATAGCTAAATCGTAAACATATATAAATATATTCATACATATATAAAGATCCAGAGCTAGTTTAGCTAGTGTGGTGTTTTAGAGAATTGTTAAGCCCTGGTCAACCTAAAGATGGTTCACCGGTCCTTTTCTTTTAATTCTCGCATATCGGTGACTCTGAGATTTCGTGGGGAGTTCCCGGGAGAATTTAATAGTATAGGGGTGTTAGGGTGTGAAATGAACACCGACTAACACTAACCCTAACCACCACCCCCCCCCCCCACACACACACACATAGTAGTGAACTTTCTCGTGAACTCCCCCACAAAATCTCAGGCCCCGATATGGAGTGAACAAAAAATAATAAAAAAAAAAACCGGTTATTCTTCTAATAGGTGGGTGGGGTGGGGGTATGGGTGGGTAAAAGGACAATATAATATTATTTTCTAAAATACTAGTGATTAGATGCACTATCTATACACATTTAGATAGATGCTCGTTTGACAACAACTCCTGACCAAAGTTCAAGGTCACTTCAACCGCTAGTATGTCATTTCGATACAAACAAATCCAAGAATGTCAAGGTAAAATGGTAAGATTGTACACGAACTTTGCCCTACATTTTCGGGCTTAAAAGAAAAACATCAGTGTCCTTAAACTGTTACGAAGTGGTGCTTATCTGGTTCCACGTTCCTGTGAAGTGTTTCGACTGTATCCGGGCAAGGAATAGCCCCAGCCACATTACCCCGTATTTTATTGATAAAGTGTCTCTCGGATTATATGGCCCCATATGTTGTCGAATTTGTATATAGTTCATAACCGAGCCGATAGGCCTTGGTATATCATATATGTAGGGAACGGAATCAGTAGAAAAAGAAGATTTTAGCCTGGAGAGAATGAGGCACCTGGGTGTAACCATAGGGTCAGGCCGGCTGACTACACTCAGATGAAAGGCAAGACGGACATTTAACCAGATTGTGACCGGTACCATCAGTATTGGAACTCTGCGCTGGCTGCTGGAGATGAGGACGGAGCATGCATGGGAATGCCCCGAGTGCTGGGATGTCAAATCTTGACTCAACTCAACTCAACTTAATATGTAGGAAAGTTAAGTTTAGGTTTAAACAACACATATCGTGGCAATACGGTAGCAACCTATAAGTGCTCAGTTCTACTACTAACTCAAGTCTGAGTCCGAAGAATCTCAGTGCACGAACTCCATAGCACCGGCGAGGATCCTGAAATATTATGGGGAAATTTGTAACTCCAAATTTGTTGGAGGCGGACGCCATGCCTCGAGACCACGCGGCTTCCCCTGTAGGGATGTTAAAAAGAAGGGCATGGCATGGGAAGATCTGCATGCGCTAGCGACTTGGCGTGAGTTAGTTGTGGGCCTATGCTTCATTGGGGGCGGTTAGAAATGTAGAAGATGAAGATATCATAACCTTTTGATGGTTGAACCCTGAAATATCACTTTGTTACATCTCACGTTTCGGGTCCCAGAAATAGAGTGATTTCCCTTCCCATTCATAAATTGGCGTGTCGCACGGCTTGTGCTATGTTGTGGGGGGGGGGGGTGTCACGCGTAATGACCGGCACACAACACGCAGCATTTTACTAGTTGTCACCGACCGGCAATATCGCGTGTTCTGTATTACAGGATGTAAGAAATTTTAACAGTCCCGAAACATGCAGAGCTGGCTCTAACGCCAACCCCCTTACGTCCTACGAGGGAGAGCAGCCTACGTCCCACGAGAGAGTGCAGCCTAAGTCCCACGACAGTGCAGCCTACCTACCACGACTATGCCACCCTCGCAACATAGGACAAGCCGTGCGACACGGGCGATTTATGAATGGGAAGGGAAGTCACTCTCTTTCTTAGCCCGAAAAACTGAGTTGTAATGTCATTTGTTATGGTTAAACGTGACACACTAAGTTTGTTGGTTAAATCCTATATTATATTTGCTGATGGTTAACCCTGGTTTATCACATGTAGAACAAGAGTAGCCATGGTAAAAAGGGACCTTTAGAAAGATTCAGAAGATACCGATAAGATGTCAACTGCAGTGAGATTAACAGAGCGTTATACATAACAAGTGTGCTCTATTAATATCCTACCCCAAACAAGGGAAATCCACAGGTCACGGGACAGTCTAATATTTCAGGGGGTGGTAGACAGTCTGCATGCAGTCGTGGGACCTAGGCTGCACTCTCTCGTGGGACCAAGGTGGGTTGTGGTTAGGGCCAATTCTAGATGTTTTGAAGTCGTTAAAAGCATCAGAAAGCCGGAAAACCTAGTCTTAACACCCTCTAAAATACTGGACTTTACTGTGACGTTATCTGCGGTAGGATATCGCGAAAGAACCAACGACTGTTGTTATATGCCTTTGTAACATGGACAATAAGCCATGGTTTCCGAGAATGCAAAGAATATAGTGGAGGGATAGAAAACAAGTGAAGCAGTCTAGAGGTAAGATTGATGGAAAGAGAGCGAGAGGAAGGCAAAAAGATAAATCCCTGGCCAAGACAAGACAAAAACGTTTAAACTGATCCATCATCGTTTGAGCTGGCGAAACATGTCAGCCTACCGGCACGGCACATAATGATAATAAAACATCTTGATATGGTTAAGCTCTGGCTAATCAGATCTGAAGACTGTTAAACCACAACCGGCTACAGCTGACGGGCCGCGCTGCTGGCGTCACCGGGTCGATCTAACGATGCATCGGTTCTCAAATTGGGTGCCGAGGCATCCTGGGGGCCGTGAGCGTATGCCAGGGGGTGCCGCGGCAATAATTAAGAAAAGTCGGCTAAAAATTGTGAAATTAATAAAGAAGCCATGTAGATACATAAAAGTTACAATTTAAGTTGTCTTCACTTGGCACTGTCGAAAAAAAGTTTATTTCTTTTTTGAGAACCGCTGCACGAACGCATCGCTACCCCCGACCCGGTGACGTCAGCAGCATGGCCCGTCAGGTGTAGCCGGTCGTAGTAAAACCCTAGTGTGTTCTGTGTTTATATGGTTAAACCCAGATATACAAAAAATCTGGGGAGATTTACATTTGGTATATCCGATCTGGAAATGCTTCAACGCTAATAATTTAGATCTAAAAGTTATGGCCAGATAAGGCCTACTGAATGGATGTGAGGATGGTGAAACCATTTATATATAGGGTCTGGAGCTGGCTCAACCTGGGTAAATCATGTTTGAGATTTGAGGTTTGAAATTTTGAACAACGAATCAACATCATGGCACACGGGTAGTAACCCATAAGTGCTCCGTTCTTCTTCTAACTCAAGTCTGAGTCCGAAGAAGCTCAGCACCGTGCACAGGCTCTGTAGCACCGGCGAGGATCCTGAAATACTTTGGGTAGATTTTTAACTCTAAATTTTGACCGGGCAGCGCCGTTGGGCTACTCTTTTCGATTTCCAACTGCCAAGGCATTTTTTACGTAACAATGCACACGGGCGTTCGATCTCACTACTCAGAGACCAAGGGGAATAAATAGAAGTCAAAGTAACCGGAAAAAATCCCCGCCCTTACCGGGGATTGAAACCGCAACCTCTAGCACTCGAAGTGGACACCATGTCTCGAGACCACGTAGCCCCCCAAATCACGTCTGAGAATTGTTAAACCCTGGAGTTGCGTTTCTTTTACAGGACGTTGCAGAACCAACCCCAGCATTTTCTGGTTGTTAAGGATTTTTGTAGGCAAGTTTACATCCAGTAGTTTCTATTGCTTTCTGGTCGGTCGGCTTCTCGGTACCACTGTCGAAACTAACGCCAGGCAAGGATCGAACCCGGCCCCACGGCATTACGAAGCAACGCCTAAGCTTGAGACGCCGACACCATTTTGAAAGTAAT